AATCCTCTCCAATTCCAAAATCCTCCCCAACTCCTCCTTTTTCCTTTGTAGAATCCTCCCCAATTCCCAAATCCTCCCCAACTCCTCTTTTTTTCCTTTGTAGACTCCTCCACAATTCCCAAATCCTCCCCAACTCCGTCTTTTTCATTTGTAGGATCGCCAATTCCCAAATCATCCCCAACTCCTCCTTTCTCTTTTGTAAAATCCTCCCCAATGCCCAAATCCTCCACAACTCCTCATTTTTCCTCTGTAGATTCCTCCCCAAGGCCCAAATCCTCCCCAACTCTTCCTCAACTCCCTCATTTTCCTTTTGTAGAATCACCCGCACTTCCCAAATCATCCCTCTTCATTTTTCGTTTGTAGAATCCTCCCCAATTCCCAAATCCTCACCAACTCCTTCTTTTTTCCTTTGTAGAATCCTCCCCAATTCCCAAATCCTCTCCAACACATTTTTTCCTTTGTACAATCTTCCCCAATTCCCAAATCCTCCCCAACTCCTCCTTTTTCCTTTTGTCGAATCCTCCCTCAATTCCCAAATCCTCCCCAACTCCTCCTTTTTTTTTTCTTTGTGGAACCCTCCTCAATTCCCAAGTCCTGCCCAACTCCTATTTTTTTCCTTTGTAGAATCCTCCCGAATTCCAGAATCCTCCCCAACTCATCCTTTTTCGTTTGTAGAATCATCCCCAATGTCCAAACTCCTCCCCAACTCTTCTTTTGTTTTCCTTTTGTAGAATCCTCCCAAATTCCCAAATCCTCACCAACTCATCCTTTTTCCTTTGTAGAATCCTCCCCAATTCACAAGTCCTCACCACCACATTTTTTTCCTTTGTAGAATCCTCCCCAATTCCCAAATCCTCCCCAACTCGTCCTTTTTCTTTTTTTTGTAGAATCCTCAGCAAATTCCAAATCCCCCCCAACTCCTCCTTGCTCCTTTGTAGAATCCTCCTCAATTCCAAAATCCTCCCCAACTCTTCCTTTTTCCTTTGTAGAATCCGCCCAAATTCCCAAATCCTCCCCAACGCACCATTTTTCCGTTGTGGAATCCTCACCGATTCCCGAATCCTCCCCAACTCCTTTTTTCTCCTTTGTAGAATCCTCCTCAGTTCCCAAATCCTCCCCAACTATTCCTTTATTCCTTTGTAGAATCCTCCCCAATTCCCGAATCCTCCCCAACTCCTCTTTTTTCCTTTCTGTAGAATCCTCCCCAATTCCCAAATCCCCCCCAACTCCTATTTTTTCCTGGGCAGAATAATCCCCAATTCCCAGATCATCCCCACCTCTTCTTTTTTCATTTGTAGAATCTTCCTCACTTCCCAAATCCTCCCCAACTCCCTCTTTTTCATTTGTAGGATCCTCCCCAATTCCCAAATCCTCCCCAACTCGTTTTTTTTTTCGTTGTAGAATCTCACCCACATACCCAGATCCTCCCCAACTCTTCCTTTTTCCTTTTGTAGAATCCTCCCCAATTCCCAAATCCTTCCCAACTCCTCCTTTTTCCTTGGTAGAACCCTCACCAATTCCCAATCCTCCCCAACTCCTCCTTTTTCCTTTGTAGAATCCTCCCCAATTCCCAAATCCCCCCCCCAGCTCCTCGTCTTTCCTTTGTAGAATCCGTCTCAATTCCCAAATCATCCTCAACTCTTCTCTTTTCATGTGTAGAATCCTCACCAATTCCCAAATTCTCCCCAACTATTCATTTTCCTTTTGTAGAATCCTCACCAATTCCCAAATCCTCCCCACCACACCTTTTTTCCGTTGTAGAATCCTCCCCAATTCCCAAATCCCCCCCAACTCCGTCGTTTTCCTGTGTAGAATCCTCTCAATTCCCAAATCCTCCCTAACTCATCCTTTTTCCTTCTTTGTAGAATCCACCCCGATTCCCAAATCCTCCCCAACTCATCCTTTTTCGTTTGTTAAATCCTCCACAATCCCCAAATCCTCCCCAACTCATCCTTCTCCCATTTGCAGAATCCTCGCTAATTCCCAAATCCCCCCCATCTCACCATTTTTTCCATTGTAGAACCCTCACCAATTTCCAAATCCTCAGTTAACTCTTCATTTTTCCTTTGTAGAATCCTCCCCAATTCATAAATCCTCCCCAACTCGGTCTTCTTCCTTTGTAGAATCCTCCTCAGTTCCCAAATCCTCCCCAACTCCGTCTTTGTCTTTGTAGAATCCTCCCCAATTCCAAAATCCTCCCCAATTGTTTTTTCCTTTGTAGAATCCTCCCTAAATACCCAGATCCTCCCCAAATCCTCCTCTTTCCTTTTGTAGAATCCTCGCAAATTCCCGAATCCTCCCCAACTCCTCTTTTTTCCTCGGTAGAACCTTCCCCAATTCCCAAATCCTCCCCAAATCTTTTTTTTCCTTTGTAGAACCCTCCCCAATTCCCAAATCCTCCTCAGCTCTTCCTTTTTCCTTTGTAGAATCCGCACCAATTCCCAAATCATCTTCAACTCTTTTTTTTCCTTTGAAGATTCCCCCACAATTCCAACATCCTCCCCAACTGTTCCTTTTTCCTTTGTAGAATCCTCCCCAATCCCCAAATCCTCACCAACTCCTCCTTTTTCCTTTGTAGAATCCTCCCCAATTCCCAAAGAATCCCCTCAACTCATTTTTTTTCCTTTGTAGAATCCTCCCCAATTCCAAAATCCTCCCCAACTCCTCCTTTTTCCTTTGTAGAATCCTCCCCAATTCCCAAATCCCCCCCCAGCTCCTCGTCTTTCCTTTGTAGAATCCGTCTCAATTCCCAAATCATCCTCAACTCTTCTTTTTTCATGTGTAGAATCCGCCCCAATTCCCAAATCTTCCCCAACTCCTCCTTGTTCCTTTGTAGAACGCTCCCCAATTCCCAAATCCTCCCCAACTCCCCTTTCTCCTTTGTAGAATCCTCCCCACTTCCCAAATCCTCCCCAACTCATCCTTTTTCCTGTGTAGAATCCTCCCCAATTCCCAAAGCATCCCCAACTTCTCCTTTCTCTTTTGTAGAATCCTCCCCAATTACCAAATCCTCCCCAACTCCTCCTTTTTCCTTTGTAGAATCCTCCCCAATTCCCAAATCCTCCCCAACTCTTCCTTTTTCCTGTGTAGAATCCTCCCCAATTCCCAAATCCTCCCCAACTCTTCCTTTTTCGTTTGTAGAATCCTCCCCAATTCCCAAATCCTCCCCAGCTTCTTTTTCCGTTGTAGAATACTCCCAAGTCCCAAATCCTCCCCAACTCTTCCTTTTTCCTTTGTAGAAACCTCCCCAATTCCCAAATCCCCCCCAAACTCCTCTTTTTTCCTGTGGAATCCTCCCCAATTCCCAAATCCTCCCCAACTCCATTTTTTTTCCTTTGTAGAATCCTCCCCAAGTCCCAAATCCTCCCCAACTCCTCCTTTTTCCTTTGTGGAATCCTTCCCAATTCCCAAATCCTCCCCAACTCATCCTGTTTCCTTTGTAGAATCCTCCCCAATGCCAAAAATCCTCCCCAACTCCTCCTTTTTCCTTTGTAGAATCCACCCCAATTCCCAAATCCTCCCCAACTCCTCCTTTTTCCTTTTGTAGAATCATCCCCAATTCCTCAATCCTCCCCAGCTCTTTTTTTCCTGTGTAGAATCCTCACCAATTCCAAAATCCTCCCCAACTCCTCCTTTTTCCTTTTTGTAGAATCCTCCCCAATTCCAAAATCCTCCCCAACTCCCCCTTTTTCTTTTGTAGAAGCCCCCCCTCCCCCCAATTCCCAAATCCTCCACAACTCCTCCTTTTTGCTTTGTAGAATCCTCCCCAATTCCAAATTCCTCCCCAACACACCTTTTTTCCTGTGTAGAATCATTTCCAATGCCAAAATCCCCCCCAACTCATCCTTTTTCCTTTGTAGAATCCTCCCCAATTCCCAAATCCTCCCCAACCCTTCCTTTTTCCTTTGTAGAATCCTCCCCACTTCCCAAATCCTCCCCAACTCCTCCTTTTTCCTTTGTAGAACCCCCCCCCATTCCCAAATCCTCCCCAACTCCTCCTTTTCCTTTGTAGAATCCTCCCCAATTCCCAAATCCTCCCCAACTCCTCCTTTTTTCCTTTTGTAGAATCCTCCCCAATTCCAGAATCCCCCCCAACTCCTGCTCTTTCCTTTGTAGAATCATCCCCGGGTCCCAACTTCCCAACTCCTGCTCTTTCCTTTGTAACCCCCCCCCAATTCCCAAATCCTCCCCAACTCCTGTTAATTCCCTCCTAGAATCCACCCACCTTCCTGAACAATCAAATCCAACCAGAAAGTCACGCACGCCCATTACATTACCGGAAAAATTGTTCAGGGAATTATTACTGTAATATTAACCGCTTCAACAGTATGTATGAAGTGGTTTGGGGCCCTGTCTGCCAAGCGCGCACACGCATCCGTATCAATCGATCTAAATATAATTATGTATATATATATATATATATATATATGTTTGCGTGTGCACATGTAAACACTACATGCGTGTATATAAATATCCATGTCCGGGGGCACACGGCCTAGTCTACCAGCTAGTCAGTCTCGCCGGGAAGGTGAGACAATAGCCGCGCTTGTTGAGAGCTCTCATGGGCACAATCCCATTTGACGCAACAGAGATGGCAGCGGAACTTCTGAGCCCTACCGCTGCAGAACAGTTGCAGACGCAGCCGGGGGGGGGGGCAAGCAGGGACACGCGATCCATCTGTGTCGTTGCTGGACGTTGCAAGTTTCAGGAGCATCAGCAGTGAGGAAGTCTCTGGCGAAGCGGCCCGCGGGCAGCCCGCCCTACCGACAGGCGTGGTGGTGCGACGAGGAGGATATATTTGTGAGAGGAGTTGTTCACGAGGAGGAGTGAGAAAGGGAGGGAGGAGTTTGAGGAAGAGGAGGAGGAGGGAGGGATGGAGGAGGAGGAGGAGAGGAGGAGGAAAGTCGGATGGAGCATGAGTAGAAAAGAGGGACCGAGGAAAATCATAATAATGAGGAGGAGGAAGAGGACGAGAACCCGCCCCCCCCGCGACGCCCCAGCAGCGTGGCGACAGCGCGCCCAGCCGGCCGGCGAAGAGGCTGAAGGCGCGCGCGCGACCTTCGAGCAGGGACCGACTGTCTTGGCATTCCCACAGGCCTGCCACGACATGCTAGCAGAACCCAAAAATGCTCAACTAGCAAGAACGATGTTCTTAGAACATAAACCGACGCATTGAAACCAGACCGTCTCGACCAAACATGCTCTAAGGACCTGTCGTGCAGACCACAGAAGGTTCTTAGAACATGTTGTGGTAGGCCCTAGACCAGGACGCCTCGTTTTTCCTCGAGACCTTCCGATCGGCGCGGGCCCTCGCACCCCCCCCGTCCCCCCCGACCCTCGGTGGAGCAGATCTTGGCTGTTTTGGGCGCCTCTTTCCAGCAGGCGGGGCCTCCCCTGTTGCACGCAGTCGCGCGCAGCAGAGGTCCGGAGCCAGACCCTCCCCTCCCCTCCTCCGCCCAATGCCGAAACGCCGACTAAGAAATCGTTCACCATCGGTGGCATTCGCCGACCTCTGGCGGCAGTCGCCGGCCTCTGGCGGCCGTCGGCGGCAGTCGCCGGCCTCTGGCGGCCATCGGCGGCCTGCGGCGGCCCTCCGGCGGCCTTCGGACGGCCGCCGCCGGCCTTCCCGGCGGCCTCCCGGCGGCCTCCCGGCGGCTGGGGGGAGCCGCCTCGAGGGGGCCAGGCCCAGACTTAGGTCGGGCCTGTCCCCTAAATACCAAAGAAGTTGTCCAAAACGGTCCAGAAATATTCAAAAAAATGGTCCCCGTATTTTTTTTGTTGTTTAAGCTATTTTTGAATTTTCCCCCTGAAGAGGGACAGGCCCGACTTAAGCCCAGACCCCCCCGCGCTGCGAGAAAATCACGACGGGAGGCGTCTGTTGTGCTATGTTCGGCCTTGCAGGGGCCCGTACAGGGCCCCGGGACCGTCAAGACAGCGACTCCGGATGACAGACCGGTGCCAGCGGGAAGGGGTCCAGACTTCCTGGGGGTCGACGTCGTCGCGACAAAAGTCACGACGTAAAGGAGGTCTGGGGACAGAGAACGACGCGGCCAGGGGCGAGAGGGGGAGGGGGGGAAGAGTAAAGACGGCGAAACCAGAAGGGGCGAAGGGGCTCGAGGTGGTGTGCGTTTCTGGCCATGTCCAGGCCCGGGGGAGGGGCCAGAAGGGAGAGGGAGGGAGGCGGAGGGACGAGGAGGGAGGCGGAGGGACGAGGAGGAGGAGGAGGAGGAGGAGCAGGAGGAGGAGGAGGAGGAGGAGGAGGAGCAGGAGGAGGAGGAGGAGGATGGATGAGGCGGACGAGGACCCGGGACAAGTATGTGGAGCGTCATGTGCAGGAGGGGGGATGAGGAGGAGCAGCAGCAGCATGAGTGTTTGGTCTCTTGTCGAGTTCAGCAATCACTGCTCCCGCGCCTTGGCCACAGCCCTGCAGGCGGCTCGCGACAACAAGCTGCTGGCTGGGTGGCAGGCGCTCGTTACCTCCGCGGCTTGTCCTGCTTAGAGTGTTTGTGCGTCAACCAGAACCTCACCCATAATACACGTGCGTATTGCCTTGATGACGCTCAATCTATGATGGACAGGGAGGATGGGTGGCCTTGCATAATGCATATGCTACGTTTGTCTGCCGCTTGTCGTCGTGCCGCTTAGTTGCCTGTATAATCCCTTTCGGGTGACCATGACGCCTCCTCAGACATTTCTTGGGCAGCGGCCATCCATGTCCGTGTGTTCCTTGCCTCCTCCACCCTCCGTCTACTGTCGCATGCTCTCGGAGGACCTCATACTGCGGACGAAGCGGCACCCGCAGTACGCACCTCCACCCGTCGACGAACCAGCCATCGGAGCCGTCTGTCTTCGTTGTGGAAGCATGAATCGGCTGAGTCGGGATAGGGGGTGGAGGAGGAGGAGGAGGAGAAGGAGGAGAAGGAGGAGCGTGGCGTTGATGGACAGCACGACCCCCCCCCCCAATTCCGCCACGCCCCTTCCTCCCCCCCCCTCGTTCGGAGTTGGGCGACGGAGCAGCACAGCGCCACCCTCGGACCCCCCGTCAGCTCGACGACGGGCCGTGGACTCTCGGGGGAAGGGGGGGGGGGGCGGTGCCGAAAACGGGCGGGGCGCGCCCCGGGGGGAGGGGGAGGAGGAGGGGGGGGGAGGAGGAGGAGGAGGAGGAGGAGGAGGAGAGAGGAGGAGGAGGAGGAGGAGGAGAGGAGGAGGAGGAGGAGGAGGAGGAGGAGGAGGAGGAGGAGGAGGAGGAGGAGGAGGAGGAGGAGGAGGAGGGGAGGTGGAGGTGGAGGGGGAGGTGGAGGAGGAGGAGGAGGAGGAGGAGGAGGAGGAGGAGGATCAGGAGGAGGAGGAAGAGGAGGAGGAGGAGGAGGAGGAGGAGAAGGAGGAGGAGGAGGAGGAGGAGGAGGAGGAGGGGGAGGGGAGGGGGAGGGGAGGGGGGGGAGGGGGAGGAGGAGGAGGAGGAGGAGGAGGAGGAGGAGGAGGAGGAGGAGGAGGAGGAGGAGGAGGAGGAGGAGGAGGAGGAGGAGGTGGAGGGGAGGAGGGGAGGAGGAGGAGGAGGGAGGAGGAGGAGGGAGGGAAGAGGAGGAGGGGAGGAGGAGGAGGGGGAGGGGGAGGGGGAGGAGGAGGAGGAGGAGGAGGAGGAGGCGGAGGAGGAGGAGGAGGAGGAGGAGGAGGAAGGAGGAGGGGAGGTGGAGGTGGAGGTGGAGGTGGAGGTGGAGGTGGAGGAGGAGGAGGATGAGGAGGAGGAAGAGGAGGGGGAGGGGGAGTGGGAGGGGGAGGAGGACAAGCTAGGTGCGCTCGCGTCATATCTGACATCTTACCCCTCCCTCCCATCCCTTACCATGGCGTAGATCCCCTCTCTACTCGCACAGTCGGATGTCAAGCAGGGCAATGGTCCCGAAGGGGTACGCGATGCATTGTATAGCACGGCATGGCATGGCGTAGAAGAGCACCGCAAAGCGTAGTATGTCACAGCATGGCGTGGCGTGGCGTCGTGAAGAATTGCATCACAAAGCTTTGCAACGCAAAGCATGGCAGCGCACAGCGTCCCCGAACATAACATCGCATAGCATGGCGTTGAAGATCAAAGCGTAGCATGGGATAGCACAACGTGGCACTTAAGCACTGCGTATCACAGCTTCAGCTGAAGGCATGGCATCGCGCAGCGGAACGCAACCTAGCATTGCATTGCATGCCGTGGCATGGCACGGGAAATGACGCCAGCACTGCAGCGGGAGCACGATGCGGAACGAGCGAAGCGCGGAAATGAGGTCAGCGTTGCAGCGGGAGCACGATTCGGAACGAGGGGGGCCCGAAAATGAGGCTGGCGCCTCAGCGAGAGCAGCATTTTGAAACAAATGCAGGCGAAAACCCAACTCTGGGGAATCTTGTTGTGTGAAAGAACGGTACGCGGAGGGGGGGGGGGCGAACACTCCCAACCCGTCATCAGGGGAAGGAGGAGAGTAGTATTCATATTGAGTAATTGTGGAGGAGGAGGAGGAAAAAGAGGAGGAGGAGGATGGGGAGGAGCAGGAGGAGGAGGTGGAGGAGGAGGAGGAGGAGGAGGAGGAGGAGGTGGAGGTGGAGTGGAGGTGGAGGTGGTGGGGAGGAGAAGGAGGAGGATCAGGAGGAGGAGGAAGAGGAGGAGGAGGAGGAGGAGGAGGGGGAGAAGGCGGGGAAGGCAGAGCGGGCGGGCCCCCCCAGAGGGCTCAGGAGGCCTCGGGCATTCCGAGAGCAATCCTCTCGGCCTCTCCCGAGGCCCCGCCTCGGCGGCCGTCCTCCGTGGGGCGAGGGGCAGTGGACCGCGTCGGGGTGGGTCGGCTTCTCGCGCGCAGGGGGGGGGGCTGCCACGAGCCGTCCGGGGGGGGGGGGGGGGATGGCCGTACAGCCAAGACGCTGAAGTCAGTGCCACTCTGGTCTCAGCTTGAGCCCGCCAAGGACGTCAGCGCAACAGTGGAGACCCATGCCAAGAGACACCTTGCTCGCCTCCAGGGTGCGCCCTGGGTGTCTTGGGTTTCGACGGTTCTGCGATGGAGAGCTTGGCGTTCCCACACCAAAAATCCATAGACGTCCTGGGGTCTCAGGGTTGGGTCTCTTGTGGAAGGCTTCTTGTGGTCGAGCCCCTCCTTTACTGAGCTGCGCCTGGCGTCTGAGACTATGGGTGCCTCGATCCTCCCGCTGCTGTTCCCTCTCCTCCGGGCAGGATCGCCCCATACATTCTGGCCACGGGGGCATGTCCGCTCCGTGTGCCGACGAGCGCGTGCCGTTGGTCTTCGGGCGATTCCTCAAATGGTCGGGGAGCCGAGTGGCGGCCGAGGCTCGCCGTGGCTAGAAACAGCCTTTGCGTTCTTCATTTGCTGTTCCTGTAGGTGGGGGCTTGTTGTACAGTGTGGGGTATCCTCCTCCCGCCTCCCTATCCTGCTCCCTCCTCTGCTTGGCCCGCGGCCCGTCTTTCTCTTGCGTGCTGGCGGAGGCCACCGAGTACACGCGGCGCTTCAACACCGAGGGGAAGACGTGGAAGAGGACGCCGATGGTTCTGCCCTCGTGTCTGCGCTCTCCCTCGTGCCTGCCCCCCCTCCCTTCCTCCTCAACGCCCTCCCTCAGTCTGCCCCTCCATCAGCAGCAGTTGTCCGCAATCAAGGGCACAAAAAAACGCCCCTGCCCTGGTTTACGAGGCGCTGTGCGCTGAAACTCCTGTGGGCTGACAGGGTCAACCCTGCGTGATGTGCCGCGTCCTGGCAGCTCTAGGCTTTGGGGGTTCCCAAGAGGTTTACAGACCACGCAGTTGTATCCCAGGATAGGGTCGTTTTTTTTGTCATCCCTCAACTTACGGGCGTCGCCTTCTGCCCCCAGCCCCGTCGATAATGGAATGTGCAGGAGCCATGTTGGGATGCCTGGGTGCCGTCGTGAAGCAGTATCGAAACCCCGTGGGTCTTCAAGACAATTTGGTATTCAGATGATAGCGTTGAATTCTGCGCTGCCTTGTTGCGAACTTCCCCTCATGCTGTGCATCGGCTGCCCACTTGGAACGACTCTGGGCTGCCTGAGGCTGCACTACGTCGGGCAAAATCGCGCGGCTTGGACGGTCTCGGAGTTCCTTGCCGTATGTTACAATGGAACATGGCTTCGAAGGACGCGAATATGGCGTAATGTACGAGCGCTCGTGGCCTCGGGGGCGCGACCATTGCGTCAGGTTCAAGGGCTCGTGGCCTCGGGGACGCGAATACTATGTAACTTACAAGCGATCGTGGCCTCGGGGACGCGAGCGTGGCGCAATTTATCAGGGATTGTGGCCTCGAGAGCGTGAGCACCGTGCAATTTACGAGGGATCGTGGCGTCGGACACACGAGTGTCGTGCAAGTTGCGAGGGATTGATGCCTTGGCAGCGCGAATCTGATGCAATGTGCAAAGGGTTGTGGCCTCGGCAGCTGGAATATGGCACACATTGCGAGGGATTGTTGCTTCGGCAGCGCGAATATGGTGCCAATTGCAAGGGCTTCTGGCCTCGGCAGCGCGGATATGGTGCAATGTGCAAAAGACTGTGGCCTCGGCAGCGCGAATATTGTGCAGTGTGCGAGTGAGTGTGGCCTCGGCAGTGCGAGTCTGCCTTATTTTGTGAGGGAGTGTTGCCTCGGCGTCCCCAAGATGGCCAAATTTGCAGAGGGATTGTGGCTTCGTCAGCGCGAATACGGCGCAATGTGCAAAGGATTGTGGCCTCGGCAGCGCGAGCATGCCCCAATTTGCAAGGGGTTGCGGCCTCAGCAGTTGGAATATGGCACGCATTGCGAGGGATGGTTGCTTCGGCAGCGCGAGTACGGCGCAACTTGCAAAGGATTGTGGCCTCGTCAGCGCTAAAATAGGTTCAAAGGTGCAAGGGATTGTGGCCTCGGCAGTGCGAACACGGTGCAATTTGCGAAGGATTGTGGCCTCGGAAGCGCGAACATGGCGCAATTTGCAGGGGATTGTGGCCTCGGCAGCGCGAGCACGCCCCATTTTGCAAGGGAGTATGGCTTCGGCAGCGCGGGCATGGTGCAGTTTGCGGGATTGTGGCCTCGACAGCTCGAATACAATGCAAGTTGCGGAGAATTGTGGCCTCGGCAGCGCGAACCTGATGCAATGTGCAAGGGATTGTGGCCTCGGCAGCGCGAGCATGGAGCAATGTGCAGAAGAGAATGGCTTCGGCAGCGCAAACATGGTGTAATTTGCAGAGGAGTGTGGTTTCGGCAGCGCGGATATGGTGCAAGTTGCAAGGGATTGTGGCCTCGGTAGCGCGAGCATGGCCTAGAAGTTGCAAGGGACTGTGACCTCGGCAGCGCGCATCTACAGCAAACCGCGTGGGATTGTGGCCTCGGCAGCGCGAGTATGGTGCAATGTGCGGGGGATTATTATGTCGGCAGCGCGAATCTGGTGCAATTTGCTAGGGGTTGTGGCCACGGCACATCCGCGAATCTACTGCAATTTGAAAGGGTTTCTGGCTTCGGGTGTGCAAATCTCACGTGATTCGCATGTCCCCACCCCTTGGGAAATTCTGAGAACTCTCCTGGTTGAGGGTAACCACGGTAGTTTTCGGCTGCCCCCCTTCGCGTGGACAGTAACAATTTACAGTAGGAAGCAGAAAGCAGGACTGTAACATTGGAAATTGGCCGGCGGATAGAATGCTCAGCTGGTCAGACAATCGGGAAGCGTGATGCGAGTTCGAACTCAGAAGCCGTTCCTTTTCAACAGAGAACGCCTCTGCATTGGCTCTTCAGCCCGCACGTCAGGCCTCGTTGGAGGAGGAGGAGGAGGAGGAGGAGGAGGAGGAGGAGGAAGAGCACTGTAGGGCAAGGAGGACGACGAGGAGGATGAGCAGGTTTGCCCACGCCTCGAACTACTGGGCGACCCCCCTTCTCCACAGACGGGGTTCGACTCGGCCGGTTCGACAACGCAAGTGATTCGACCGGTCCGCGATAGGGTAGCTTTTGGAGCGCCGCGCGCAGGGTCACACCTTTCGCGCGCATGGCAGCGCGTGGAAAGGCAGGATGAAAAGGAGGACGACAGCAGGGCGGGAGTAGACCCAGGATGCAGTAACGATGCTGCTGTACACCCTCTCGGGCGGGTGATAACAGTGGGTGACCCTAATGGGGGTGACGAAATGGCTCTAGAGGGGCTCTTTAGGCCCCTTTTGGGCATCTGCTGTTTCCAGAATGAGCCCTAAAAGGACTCCTTTAGGGCTCTTTTATTCACCCCCCATTTCGGTCACTCCCCATTACCACCCGTGCGACCCTCCCGTCCCAAGTCTCCCCCCCGTTGTTCCCTACAGGATGTTCCCCTCAAATACGGGAGGCGTCCCGCCCGAGACAGATGAGGGCTCCGAAGGGCCTGCCAGTTCGGGCGAGGCCCCGTGCTGCAAAGGATCTACCCCTTTTTTCCGTTGTTCTAGCCTTAAGAAGCCCAAAAAGATACGATCAGGCAGTCCAGGGAACTATCCAGCGAGAGCTCCGTGCTGCAGAGGATCGGCCCTCCGCACGTGCGATCGTACCACATGGGCCTGCGCCGCAGATATTGCTCTGCCTAGATTTCAATGTACTTGCACCGCGAAGATTGTACCACAGAAATTGCACCACGTATATCCAGGGCGCAATAACTCATTGTGTGGAGTACACGCTGGCAGACATTGCTTTTCTCAAATATTGCCTTAGGACACTCGTGTGTTTGGGACACCGTGCCACAACATCGATGTCCGCCTGGAACTTATTTCACTTGGTTCAGGAATCGCGCTCCCGCTCGAGCACTCCCCACTCCAACATTAGCTATAAAAGTAAATACCAAGCGATCAAAACACTTACCCTCCAAATTTCTTTCGCAGCACAGGTCCCGCAGGTGGGCCGCTGTATTATTGACGCTTCGCATGTCCCAGGCGAGCGGCCTTGGCAAATGCAGTGTATGAGTAAGCAGTCGAATATAGAGGGTGGGCAGCCAGCAAACCGAAGCTCAGGGTCAGCCTCAGAAGCCCCAGGGGTCAACCATCAGTGCCTTCGCGGATTTTTCAATACGGTAGCCTCGTTGCATCTTACTGGGCCACTTTGGGCGGGCGCAAACCAGACGACCAGGAGGACAAGGGCGAGGGCGCGGCCAGGGACAAGAAGAAGCACAAAGGCGGCAAGGACGACATCATGCTGCCCGTGGTGAAGCTGGTGCTGACCAACACGAAGGACATCGCCGACCTCGGCGCCCTGCTGTACACGAAATACGAGCTACCAGTGGCGGTGGGAGTGGTGGCGGTCAGCCAGCAAGCAGGCAAGAAGTACAACGACGACTCGGCGGCCCTAAAGGCAAAGGAAAAGGCAGGCGAGAAGCAGGATCACAAGTCGAGGGGCGCGGCGCACGTCCAGATATTCATGGCAGCATTCGGATACGGAGCTACGAGGACGGCGTCGGCAGGATCAACGCAAACGGAGGAAGCCAAGTTGAGCGAGGAGATGCTGCAGTTCTTCAACGAGGTGCTGTGCAAGTTCGACGGTCCGAACGCGGTCGGCCAGCTGATCACACACTTCAGGGTGAAAGTGCACAAGAAGGAAGAGGGCTCGACACCGATGTGCACACTGATGTGGTACGCGGACCCACGCCACAGCCACTACACGGAGGTGCAGAAGTGGCTCATCAAGCTCGTGGAGTTCGAGGGTGGCAAGAGGTTGGTCGGCGCCCCGCCGCGCGGCCCGCTCGAGCGGATCCTCAGCAAATACGTAGACGAGCACACGAAGAGGTAGAGGGACTCCCGAGAGACCTACAGACGAGTTCGCGCCTGGCTGAGCTGAGGTCAAGAGGCTTTGTTCTCCCCCCTGCTTCCTCCTCCCTTCCGTCCTCGCCTTCGGCTCCTCCTCTCACTCAAAGCTCGAATACACAGCAGGCAGTTTTTGATCCCCCGAATTTTTTGGACGGCCCTCCGACAGTAAATATCCCTAGGAGGCCGCGTGGAGGGGGGAAAGGAAAGCATGGTCGCTCGAGAGGTAAAGGTCCCAGCAAAGGCAAGGGTCCGCGTACCTTAGGCTAGCCGAGCCTTCGGGGTGCTGCGTGCGTCGGGCTGGTGCTGGCGGGGTCCGTGCGGCATCTGGCCGAGAGTGGATCGTATCTTTTTAACAGTTTACGTCGGCTTCGTAGGTTAAGCCTCCTCAGGGAACAACCCCGTGGGCAGTTAAGAGTGCTACGCTTCTTTTTCGCTTCGATTTCGCGTTGCCAGTGCTCTCCCTCGGATCTGGTCCTCATGAGCTAGAAAGAAAGAAAGAAAGAAAGGGTCATGTGTGTGGTCTTTGTGGCCCGCTTGTGACTCTCTTGGGGTTTCATTGAGGGTCCTGGGGGCCATCTTGGAGACCATCGATCAAAGAAGGGCCGTTCTCAATTACGCCCCCCCCCCCCCCCTCCCCGACCAGGGCTCTCGAAATCGTCTCTCGGGGCCCTGCCGAGGCGCTCCGGGGCGCTATTTGGGGCCGTCTTGCCGCCCTCCTGTGCCCCTCTTGGAGCTCTACTAAGACAGCTTGGGCCGTCTTGGGCCCTGGATGGCGATGATGATGCTGCTGCTGATGATGATGCTGATGCTGATGATGATGCTGATGCTGATGATGATGCTGATGATGATGACGATGATGATGATGATGATGATGATGATGATGATGATGCTGATGATGACGCTGATGCCGGTGCTCATGCTGATGATCATGTTGATTATGATGATGTGACGATGTTGTTGATGCTGATGATGATCATGATGATGCTCATGATGATGATGATGATGATGATGATGGTGATGATGGTGATGATGGTGATGATGGTGATGGTGATGGTGATGGTGATGGTGTTGGTGATGGTGATGGTGATGGCGATTGTGATGATGATAAGAACCGGAAAGCAAACGCAGCTGAATGATCTGCTGCATGGTTGGAGAAAGTATGGTTGTCCGTGCCCTTGGGCGGCCGTGGCCACTTCGAGACGTCATGGGGCGGTCGTGGGCATCTTGGGAGCATCGTCGAAGCTACCCTACGCCGTACCGAAGGACATAATTGGGGCCGTGGAAGCCATCTTAAGTCATCTTGGGCGTTCTAAGCTTAAGTCGGGCATGTCCCTCTACAGGAGGAAAATTCACAAATGGTTGAAACAATAATCTGGGGACGATGTTTGTATTACGTTGGACTATTTTTGTGTATTTGTTGACTGTGTTCTGTTTTCCTTCAAAATCCGCCTGTAGGAGGACATGCCCGACCTAATTCTAGCCGTTGCCGCGGCCCTCCAGGAGATCGGGTAGGGAACGGGTAGACCATTCCCCGGTGGGGAAGAAAAATGCTCGGACGTCTAACTCGCTTAACGACCTGCGCCCAGAGAGCCGGTGGGAATACTCAAGGACTGCGCTCTCGCTTCTGACTTTCTGGCGACTTCGGCATCGCGCTCTCTCAAAGGTCGAGTCGCGCTCTCGCATGGGACTTCCTGGCCGCCACCTCGGATGGCCCGCCTGTCCGCCCCGCCCGCCAGGGTCCGCCCGCCCGTCCCGCCCGTCAGGGGCCCGCCTGCCCGACCGCCCGTCAGGGGTCCTCCCGCCCGACCCGACCTCTGGGGCCCGCCCGCCCCATCCCGATCCGCCTGGCAGGGTCCGCCCGCTGGCGTGCCTGAGAGCTCGCCCGCCTGCCGTCGTGTCCCGCGCCCGCCCGGCCCGGCCGGTGGAGAACACCCGCCCAGCCCGCCAGCTTAGTCGGTTTTGCCCGCCCGACCCGCCCGTCAGCGTCTGGAAGAGGAAGAGTGAGGAGGGCCAGGCGAGGAGTTGGAGCGTGGAGGAGGAGGAGGAGGAGGAGGAGGAGGAGGAGGAGGAAGGGAGGGAAGAACCCCACGACCCCCACAATTGGCGCGTGCTGAACGGCCTGAGGCGTTTATTGAATAGCCCTGTCCGGTTCGAGTTCTTCCTTGGGTGCGTTTGTTGAACGGTTTCGTCAGTCGGGGTGTTTTTTTTCTGCTCTCTAGAGGAAGCGGACGAGAACGAGAACGAGGCTGCAGGAGAAGGAGGAGGTGAGGTGGAGGAGGGTGACACCGTCGACGACGGCGGCGGCGGTCGCGACGACGACGACGACGACGACGACGACGACGACGACGACGAGCTGGAGGAGGCGGCGGCCGCGCACACGCGGAGGACGCAGCGGGGCTCGAAGCCTGGCGCTCTTGTGCTGGGCCTGGACTGCGAGATGGTGCCGCCGCCCCCGCCCTCACGAATGTGGAGGCCCTGCCAGAATAATTCGACGCTCTCAGTGGACAGCCTGCCAGGGGCGAGCGACACCAGCAGTCGTCGATGCAGGTGCTCCTGGGTAGCTCTTGCTCCAGTTGTCAGCTTGCTTCGCCTGCTTTCCCACGACTGGCTGTATGCCGCTCGCCAGGTTCGGACTCGAATGCGTCCACATTGTGTGGTGTTCGCTGCTGGTCAAATCGGCACGTCGTGGGGTCCTTCACTCACTTCAGTGGGTTCCTCGCCATCCGCCGTGTGCAGGAAAGCTTCCTTGGGCAAGTTCGACTCAGCGTGGTAAGGCGCAGGCGCCGGTGCCGCTGCAGCAGCCGTGGCCTTTCACTTGGCGACCCGCGCCGCAGGTGTACGCGAAGGGCGATCCCAACGCTCTGGCCCGCGTCTCCGTGGTCGGGGTGGGTGGGAATCGCCAGCGCCAGTCACACTGCAACGGCCACTCAGCTTCGGGGGTGGTCAGGAGGGGGATGATCGGGCTACGGCCACGGGGGGAGTGGGGGGACATCGTGGCCAGGGCCATGAGGTCTCCCTGGATTTCATGGCCTTCATTTGGTCCCCTGTCAGCACGCCTCCTGGTCCCCCACTCGTCCGCGCACATGCCGCGGGCCGTGCTGTGCGAGCCCCCCCCCATCCCTCCTGGACGCCCCCCCCTCTTGGACGCGCCCGAAAGCTGGCCCGAGGAGGCCAGTTCTGCACGTGTCGGGCCCGGGGAGGCGCTGCTCGCTCGACACCTGGCCAGCGTGTCGCGCGGTTCACCGTGTCGGTGCCTTCTCTGGGTGTGCTCGAGCCCAGTTCTGGGATCTGGCCCTCCCGTCTGATGGGAGCAGCACAGCCCTCGCCCCCCCCCCCCCCCTTCCGCTTCGGATGATGATGAGAGGAGGAGGGAGGAGGAGGAGGAGGAGGAGGCGGAGGCGGAGGCGGAGGCGGAGCGGAGGCGGAGGCGGAGGCGGAGGAGGAGGGAGGAGGCGGAGGAGGAGGAGGAGGAGGAGGAGGAGGAGGAGGAGGGGTCCGCAGCTCTGCCACGTGGCAGCGCGACGCCCACGCCTCCCGAGGGAGCCCCAGGGGCTGCGGCCTCCGAGGGGCTGCGGCCCCGCGGCCGACCTCCTCGGCAGCGCGCGCTCCGCGCGCGCGCAGCGCCGTCGCCCCAGATTCGGGGGTGGGCAGACCTCCTCTCCTCCTCCTCCTCAACCCAATTCTCCTGCGTCCCCCCCTCCTCCTCCTCCTCCTCCTCCTCCTCCTCTCTCCTCCTCCTCCTCCTCCTCCTCCTCCTCCTCCTCCTCCTCCAAGCTCCCGTGCCTGGGTGAGAAAGAAGGTTGCAGTCAAGCTCAATCCCTTATCGGGGGTGGACAGACCTCCTGCCCTGACACGTCGATTAAGGAATTGGCCGTTTTCGGTTCGCGAGAGGGCGTCGCGGCCGTCATTTTTGCGGGTCCAGGTCTGTCGGCTTCGGTCCCAGGCCGTTTTCACTAAGGGGAGGTCTACTAAAGGGAGGTTTGTCCACCGCCGACAGATTTGCTGGCGCGCAGAGAGAGGGCAGGGCCGGGGAGGGCGGGCCGGCCCCCTGCTGGGAGGCACGGGCAGTCGGGCTTGCTTGAAGAGGGGACACAAGGCCCTCCCGAGGGCCACGTCGCCGCAGGAGTGTAAGAAGGCACGTGTCACGAGGCACAGGACACGAGGGTACCCTTGAGCTGACAGGGTCGACCTACTAATCAGGGCCGACTGTAGGGAGTGTTGGCTGACCGGGTCCCAAACTGCTGCAGGCGACTTCCCGCTTCGAGAGTCGAGCGGTATTCCCCTTGCCCTCGTCCTCCGGGGGCGGGCGGAAGCCCAGTCTACTCAGCGCCGTCCCACTTCATGTTTCTATCCACTCCTTCCGACCGACGGGGGCCTAAGCGACCCCCAGGTTTCTCGGGGCGTACTTCCGTGGACGCCTTGGACGGGTCCCCGCTCGAACGGGAGCACCCCCCCCCTGGGGCCACCGACAGGCTGCGTGCATGCCTACAGCGCCCTCATCTCCCTGCCCCTCAGGCTGCGTGCATGCCTACAGCGCCCTCATCTCCCTGCCCCTCCCCATTCCTCTTCCCTGCAGGCTCGAGCGCGTGCTGCTCCAAGGACGCCCTCGAGGGCGCGAAGTTCTTCGCGCTTCGCGGTTCGGCTCCGATTCCTCTTCGTCCTCCTCTTGGGGCGGCGCGAGAGCTCGCAGCTATGCGCGCTCTCGCGCAGCGCGAAGCTCGAAGTTGGGCGCCCTTGTATTCTTTCATCAGCCGGGGGGGGGGAAGTGTGAAGCGGCGGGCCTTCTCAGAAGGCTCGGAAGTCCCCCGGCCTCCTGAGACGCTTTCTAGACAGAAAACTTCTCAGAAGGCCAGAAGGCCTCTGAGAAGCCCCGTCGCCTTCTGAGAAGGCCTTCTCCTTCCCACTTCCCCCCTCGCTCGCCGCCGAGCTATGGTCGTGACAGCCTTCTTCTTTTGTTTCCGAAGGTTTCGCGTTCACTGAGGGGTGCATTTGGAAAGGGCGCCGAGGAGACGCTGTCCGCGGGCCCATCCCGCGGTGGCACCCCCTTTGCAGGATGATGTAAGACGTGGGCCACGCGGCGATCAGCATCACCAGGCAGGTGTTGCTAATCATTAGGCCTCTTAGATGGTCTTAGAGTAGATGGGGTCGGAGGATGGCGCCGCATCGCCGATGCGTCGGCGATGCATCGCCGATGCGGCTCGATGTGGGGCCCACTTTTCTCCACGCCGACGTCGTCGATGCATCGCCGATGCATCGCCGATGTACCGACGATGCGGCGAGGTCCTCCGACCCCACCTAACTGGACCTCATCTAGGGGGCCTCTATGATCGCCACCGGTCGACAGGAAGACAGCCGGAGGGTGGGGCTTCGGAGGGCCCCGGAGCGCTCCGAGGGGACCCCACTGGGCGGCGGCTGGACCTCCCTGGGAGCCCGCCCCGCCCCTTCCCCTCCGCGCCTCGCCTTGCGCCTCCTCTGCGCGCCGCCAGGAGAAGGGGGAGGAAGAGTGAGAGGATGATGATGATGATGATGATGAGGAGGAGGAGGAGGAGGAGGTGGAAGAGGAGGAGGAGGAGGAGGTGGAGGAAGAGGAGGAGGAGGAGGAGGAGGAGGAGGAGGAGGCCGCCCCCCACCAGGCAACCAGTGCTTCAGAATAGCGGGATGTGGTTTGCTATTTGCCGTTCGCGATGCGGTCGGACCGACCCAGAGACCCGAGCAGGCGTTTTTAGGCTGATTTCGTTCTCTGGGGGCCCTCGCCGGGCCTCGGGACCATCCACAAACGACTCGGGACGAGAAACCGGCCCTAGGGAAGTGGTCCAGACCTCTGGAGGCCACGCATCGAAAAAAGTGGAGCCGCCATCCGGCCCGAGGTATGAGATCGAGGTCGGTTCGGGGAGGGTGCCCTAGTGTTCTTCGTGGCTGTTGGATGTTCTTGTGCATCCTGGAGGAGGGCGCCCTCGAATGTTGTTCGGTTTGCCCGGCGGAGGGCTTCATGTTTTGGAAGGAAGCTCTTCTGTCCTAGGCCCGACCGTAACGCCCGTGACCGCCCCCCTGCCCCCCCCCGCCCATCCCTCCCGTCTCGGTCACGTCACGATTCGCGCCAGCGCCGTCTGGGAATGAGCCTTTCCTTAGGCGTTCCCCAGACGGCGCCAGCGCGAATCGCGACGTTGGACGGCCCCCTCGCCTCCCCCCCCCGCCACGCCCGTGGATCGCGAGCACACTTTTCCGTAAGGGCTGCGGCTCTTCTCGTCCCGCCTAAGTGGGCGCGGCTCCACCCGCAGGAGGGCCAGCTGGACGATCGCTCGCCCCCCTCCTCCCAGACCAGGGAGGGCAGGTCAGCTTCGGCGGGACCCTGCTGGACGCCTACGTCCACCGGCTGCCAGGCGGCTGGCGTGAGCCGCCGCTCGGGGAACCACACATCACGATGCAAGCATGAGCTTCCAGAGCTCCGCGCGTGGATTTCTTGGATGGGCGCCGGAGCCCCCCCGAGGCGCTTCCGGCGCCTCCCCGGCGCGCCCCCAGCGCGTGTTCCGCACGCCAAGGATGGGGGCCCAGCGCCGATGCAAGACATCCGCGCGGAGCTCCGCAAGATGGCATGTTCCTCGAGCAGCAGTGGTCCAGACTCTCACCACCCACCAAGCCACCCCAACCCATCCCAAAGGCTTCACTTTGCCCTCCATTTCCAGTGGGGTGGGGGTGGGGGGAACATGGTCAGAACACATGGGCCCCGCCCCCCCCCCCCAACCCGAAATTCGGGTCAGATTCCAGTCTTCGGGTTCAGTTGGGGTGGTCTGGTAGGTAGTCAGACTCGGCTCGGTTCACCCCTTTCGCCCCCCTGTTCCCTCCCTGCCCAGGAGGAGGAAGGCGAGAACCGCTGCTGCTCATCCCTCGATCTTCTCTCGACCCTTCCAGACATCCAGCGGCCCCAGAGTATAGGAGGCTGGGGCGGTGCGTAATTGTTATTCTGGAGGGAAAGGACACACGGGCACAAATAACCGACGATTAAATTATGGAGAAGGTGGGAAGTGTAGGGGAAGACGAGAACCCAGAAAATATGGAAATTATGGGGCATCCTGGGATTTGTGTCTCTCTTTTTTTGGCGTGTCCCTGGGCCCCCTCAACCGTGGGGGGGGATGGATGGGGGGGGACGAGAGCTGCACCTTTTGCGCACATCGGGGGCCCTGCAATGCCCCCCTGGGGGCCCGAAAGCGGTGCCCAGCAAGGCGCCCCTGGGGGCACACCGTTTATGGCCCCCCTACTACACAAGCAGTTCAAGACAGGACTGCCTCGAGCATCTGAACCGCCACGAGAGACGGCCCATAGGGTGAGAAGCTGGCCCCCCGTGGGAGCAGGAGGAGGAGGAGGAGGTCGAGGAGGAGGAGGAGGAGCTCGTGGAGGAGGAGGAGGAGGAGGAGGAGGAGGAGGAGGGGGAGGGGGAGGGGGAGGGGGAGGGGGAGGAGGACAAGCCAGGTGCGCTCGCGTCATATCTGACGTCCTACCCCTCCGTCGCATCCCTTGCCATGGCGTAGATCTCCTCTCTGTTCGCACAATCCGGCGGGAGTACCATTCGGGACGAGTGGAAGCGCGGAACTGAGGCCAACGTTGCAGCAGGAGCACGATTCGGAGGACGCGTAGCCTGACATAGCATGGCGTGGCGACGCCCCAAAGCGGGGAGAGCTTCTGCGGTCCAACAAATCAACGAATCGGCACCGAATGTAGAATCACTTACGATGTTTTTTTCTGTCGGGGGGCCATGTTCTAGATTTTGGGGCGTATTTGAAAGGACCGAAAACCGTGCCGTGGCATGGCGCTGGAAATAATGACGCCTGCGTTGCAGCGGGAGCACTATTCGGAACGAGCAGAAGCGGCGGAATGAGGCCAACGTTGCAGCGGGAACACGATTCGGAACGAGCGGAAGCGGGGAAATGAGGCCAGCGCTTCAGCGAGAGCAGAGCATTTTTTCAAACAAAACGAAAAAACGTTTCCCGGGATTCCTGCGTGTAACAAACCAGTACACGGAGGGGGGCCGGATTTTTTCCGGACGTCACTGGGGGAGAGAGGAGAGTAGTATTCATATTGTGCAATTGTGGAGGAGGAGGAGGAGGAGGAGGAGGGGGAGGAGGGGGAAGAGAAAGAGGGAGGAGGAGGAGGAGGAGGAGGGCGAGAAGAAGGAGGAGGAGGAGGAAGAGGAAATAAGGAGGCGGAGGAGTAGGAGGAGGAGGAGGAGGAGGGGGCGAGTCCCACCTCTCGGAAGGGTCGGCTGCCGGACAGCTGGACCCGTCTGCTCTGGATCGACTAGACGTAAGAGTGACCTTTCGCCTGAGTGACCTTTGGTGCGGGCCCCACGGGGTCCCCCGATCGCTGAGCGAAGCAGCGGCTTGCGCGCCAAGGTTTGGCCGCCCCGCTTCCCGCGTTCAGCCGCGCACACAAGGTCACTGTTGCCTAGGGTCACTCTCGCACGTAGCCGACTGGAGCAGCGGAGGGGAGAAGCGTTCATCCCTCAACCTCCGAGAGAATCGTGCGGGGACCGTTACCAAGGTCGAATCGGGTCCTCGTCCTTTCGAAGGCCCGAGTCGACCCAGGAGGCCACCAGGACTGCCCCGAGACGACCCGAGAGGCCCCCAGGGCGGCCCGGGAGGGCACCAAGGCGGCCTGCGAGCACCCATGAATTGCCCAAGAGGGTCCCAAGGTGCAGAAGAGATGTCGCGGGAGTCATCGATGCCGATCTCGGTCATGGTCCATGTCGGCCGCCGCCGATTCACGAGGGTGATCCACGAATTGACGCTGACAAAAAAGATTGGCGGTGACCAGGATCACAGCGACGTTCCCACGTTCAGTCTTGGTCGTGGTCACCATTGGCTTCCCCTCCATGCCTGCTCTCACTTTCCCTCGGGAGCCCCCAAACGGTCACCGTGTGGTCAGTCAGTGGGGATTCGGGGTGATCGCACGGTTTTGGGACGCGGGTCGTTCTCCGAGGATGTCTCGGGCGGTTGGGGCATCCGAGGTCCCAGCACCGTGCGGTGACGGAACGTGCGGTGCGATCTTTGGAGATGTCGAGGTGATTGCACGGTCTGTCACCGCACCGTTTTGAGATTCTCGATCTCCTCTCCCAGCACCTCCTCTCGTCCCTCCTCTCGCTCCCCTTTGTCTTCCCCTCCCTTCTCTCCGATACTGCTGTCGTCTCAGCCGCCGTTGTTCCTTAGCTTGTGCCGCGTGCCATGCGTTTTTGCCGTCGTTCTTCTGACAGGCGCCATCCTCGACTACCGCACGCCCATCTCGGGCGTGGAGGCGAAGCATCTGACAGAGGAGTTGCCCCGTGGGCTCCAAAGTGCATGTCGGGCGAACGGGCAGTGCTGGACGGGTCGGGCAGGGTTCCGCGCACAAGGTTTCACGACTTGTTGTTTCGTTCGGGTTCTCTCTTGGCCCTGCTGGCCTTCAACCAGCACTGTCTTCAAGGCATGTGTGGCGTAGAAGACATCATGGACATGTTGCAGACAATGTCCTTCTTCTTCTCTTCCCACCTTGTTCTTCCTTCTCGTTCTCCCCCTCGGTCCTTCACGGATCCTCCTTATGCGCCCGTCCTTGGGCGAGCTGGTTGCCCGTTGTACCAGATGCGTACGCCAAGCATGCGCCGCTGCCTTTTCTTCTTGGGAGACATGCTTCGGTTGTGTGCCAGATCAGAATCAGAGTGAGGGGGCCGAACGTGCATTCATTGTCCTTGGACGTGGTTGAAGTGGGGATCCGTGGTGAGGATTCTGCTTGTTGCGTTGTTGTTGTTTGTGTGTTTGTTTGTTTGATTGGTTGTTTGTTTGTTGGTTTGTTGGTTTGTCTGTTTGTTTGTTGTCGTCGCCCCACCCGCGACCCACCCGCGGCCCCCCCCGCGACCCACCCCGCGGCCCACCCCGCGACCCACCCCGCAACCCACCCCGCGACCCACCCCGCAACCCACCCCGCGACCCACCCGCGACCCAACCCGCGACCCACCCCCGACCCACCCCCGACCCACATTGCGATCCACCCCGCAACCCACCCCGCGACCCACCCGCGACCCATTTGCGACCCACCCACGACCCACCCCGCGACCCACCCCGCGACCCACTTGCGCCCCAGCCGCGACCCAAGAGCGACTCAGCCGCGACCCAGTTGCGATCCATTTGCGCCCCAGCCGCGACCCACCCGCGACCTACCCATATTGGCTTAAAGAAACAATCTGCGCTTGCGGCGGGTTCGTTGTATAATGTGTGAAACTGTGGCGCTTGCGGCGGGCTTCTCCAGAGTCTCGCAGACTGCCGACGTCCCCATTGCCCCCCTCACTCTTATCCGCACCTGCGGGGTGCTATAGTAAGCTATTATCGTGTAGGTTCGGAAGCCTCCACTGATAGCGCAGCGGTTTTCCAGGTGGCCGTCCCAGCAAATTGATTTGCGTATCAATGTTAATCCTGGCGTAAGTGTGTGTGTGTGTGTGGGTGTCTGCGGGTGTGTGTGTGTGTTGTGTGTTGTGTGTTGTGTGTTGTGTGTTGTGTGTTGTGTGTTGTGTGTTGTGTGTTGTGTGTTGTGTGTTGTGTGTTGTGTGTTGTGTGTTGTGTGTGTGTGTGTGTGGTGTGTGTTGTGTGTTGTGTGTTGTGTGTTGTGTGTTGTGTGTTGTGTGGTGTGTGTGTGTGTTGTGTGTGTGTGTGTGTGTGGTGTGCGTGTGCGTGTTGTGTGTGCGTGTGCGTGTGCGTGTGCGTGTGCGTTTGGGGGGTGGTATGGTGTGCGTGCGTGTGGTGCGCGTGCGCGTGCGAGTGCGCGTGCGCGTGCGCGTGCGCGCGTGCGTGTGCGTTTGTGCTTGTGCATGTGCGTGTGCGTGTGCGTTGCGTTCTGCGTCGTCTGCGTCTGCGCCCTGCTGCGTCTGCGTTTGTGCGTATGCGCGCGCGTGCGCGTGCGCGTGTGCGTGGGTGGGTGTGTGGGTGTGTGGGTGTGTGTGGTGGGTGGGTGGGTGGGTGCGTGTGGGTGCGCGTGTTGGTGCGTGTGTGCGTGCGTGCGTGGGTGCGTGTGTGGGTGCGTGTGTGGGTGCGCGTGTGGGTGCGTGTGTGGGTGCGTGTGTGGGTGCGTGCATGTGTTGGTGCGTGTGTTGGTGTGTGCGTGTGCGTGTGCGTGCGCGTGCGCGCGTGCGTGTGCGTGTGCGTGTGCGTGTGTCTGTGTGTGTGTGCGTGTGCGTGTGCGTGTGCTTTTGCGTGTGCGTGTGCGCGTGCGCGTGCGCGTGCGCGTGCGCGTGCGCGTGCGTGTGCGCGTGCGCGTGTGCGTGTGCGTGTGCGTGCGCGTGTGCGTGTGCGTGTGCGTGTGCGTTTGCGTGTGCGTGCGCGTGCGCGTGCGCGTGCGCGTGTGCGTATGCGTGTGCGGTTTGCGTGCGCGTATTCGTATGCGTTTGCGTGTGCGTTTGCGTGCGCGTGTGTGTGTGTGTGCGTGTGCGCGTACGCATTACCCACTAGCCCGTTATAGCATAGATCAGATATTGCGTTGAGTCGGTAATAAGATATTGTTTGGCTCATCGAAGACGCCTACGGCGAATCACCGCCGCCCCTTGTCTTTTGAAATCGCCCATGTGGCCGAGCGTTGTGGCAAGAGCTCTGCCAAGCTATCGGGCCATGTGTGCCCCCAACCGTTGTCGAACCCCACTTGGGGGAGAATGGCGGGGAAGATCAGGAGGAGGCGGAGGAGGAGGAGGAGGAGGAGGAGGAGGAGGAGGAGAGGAGGAGGAGGAGGAGGCGGAGGAGGAGGAGGAGGGGAGGAGGAAGAGGAGGTGACATCTTGGGAGCCTCTGGATGCACTTGTGGGACCTCCTGGGAGCTTCCTGGGAGCCTCTTGGAGGCATCTTGGGGACCTCCTTGAGCCTCTTGGGGGCCTTTGGGCCTCTCTTCTCGGGTGCCCCTTCGGCCGTCTCAGAGCATTCCTGGCCCGTCTGACGCCTTCGGAAGCTGTCTTGGGTGACTCTCCGGGCCGACTTGGAGCCTTATTGGAGTGCTCCAGGGTTGTCTTGGAGGCCATCGTGGGCGTCTTGGACGCCTCTTGGGCCATCTGAGAGCCATTTTGGGGCCGTCTTGGGGGCCTCTTAGGACCGTTTTTGGGCCATCCTGGATCGGGCGATCTTTCGGAGCTCTTGGGTCGTCTCGGGTCGTCGGAAGGCCGAGAAGAAGCCAATGCCCACACCCTTCAAAAACCAAAGGAAAAGCAATGATGTTGGCCTCTTCGGGCCTTCCTGGAGGCCCTCTTGGAGGCCTCTTGTTCCGTCTTGGAGACCTCTTGGGGGTCTCTTGGTCCATTTTAGAGCCATCTTGGCCTGTCTTGGTGGGCTCCTGGTCCGTCTGACGCCGTCGGAAGCCGTCTTGGGGCCTCTCTGGACCGACTTGGAACCCTCTTGGAGTGCTCCAGGGCTGTCTTAGAGACCATCTTGGGCGTCTTGGAAGCCTCTTGGGCCGTCTCAGGGCCCTTTTGGGGCCGTTCTGGGGCCATCCTGGAAGTCTGTCGGGCGGTTTTTGGGGGGGGCTCTTGGATCGTCTCGGGTCGTCGGAAGGCCGAGAAGAAGCCAATGCCCACACCCTTCAAAAACCAAAGGAAAAGCAATGATGTTGGCCTCTTCGGGCCTTCCTGGAGGCCCTCTTGGAGGCCTCTTGTTCCGTCTTGGAGACCTCTTGGGGGTCTCTTGGTCCATTTTAGAGCCATCTTGGCCTGTCTTGGTGGGCTCCTGGTCCGTCTGACGCCGTCGGAAGCCGTCTTGGGGCCTCTCTGGGCCGACTTGGAACCCTCTTGGAGTGCTCCAGGGATGTCTTGGAGACCATCTTGGGCGTCTTGGAAGCCTCTTGGGCCGTCTCAGGGCCCTTTTGGGGCCGTTCTGGGCCTCTTTGGGCCTCTTTGGGGGCTCTTGGGCCGTTCTGGGGCCATCCTGGAGGCCTCTTGGGCGATCTTGGGCGATCTTTGGGGGCTCTTGGGCCGTCTCGGGCAATCTGAAGGCCGAAAACAAGCAAACACCAAAGCCCTTCAACAACCTACGGAAAATTAATGATGTTCACCTCTATGGGCCATCCTAGAAAACCTATTAGGGCCCTCTTGGGCCCTACGGAGCTCTCTTAGGAGGCCTTCGGGGCCGTCTTGATGGCTTCTTGAGCGGTCTTGGAGGCATCTTGGACCCTCTTGGACCGTCTTGGAGGCCACCTTGGACCATCTTAGGCGGACTTGGAGGCCATCTTGGGTCATCTGGGCCGTCTTGGGGACATCTTGGAGTCCATTTGGGGCCATCTTGGGCGTGAAAGGCATTGACATGCGCAGGTTCCAGGTGGCTGGCGCGCTGGACCGAAGCCCCAGGGGGAGTTCTACAAGAAGTCAAACCGAAAGGATCCAGCACGCCGGGCACCCCTGTGGCAAGCCAACAGGGTGCGGCGGATCTATCGAATGGCCTTCGGCCCATCCCGCCACCGTGCCTCGGTTGTGGGTCATAGGCCTCTAGGGTGTTCGTCGGGGTGTCGCGGGAGGCCTCTCTGGGCTTCTTGGAGGCCGTTTTCGAGCCCCTTGGGAGCCGTTTCGGGGCTTCTTGGGGCGTCTGCGGGGCTCTTGGGGGTCTCTTGGGGCCTGTTTGCGGCCTCTTGGGGCCTCGTGGGAGCCTCCTGGGGGCCTCTTCGGGCGGAAGACTGGAATTTTCCGTTCGTGTTCCCTCTTGGGCCCTTGTTGGGGCTGTCTTTGGGACCTCTTGGACCGTCTTGGGCGCCTCTGGGGCCATCTTGGAGCCCTCTTGTGCCGTGTTGGGGCCCTCCTGTGGGCCTGTTGGGGCGGTCCTGGAAGCCTCTTGGACCGTCTTGAAGCGTCGGGAGCTCGAAAAGTCGAGGACCCCCAAATCATTGAAAAACCATTGGATCATCAATAAGATTGGCTCCCCAGAGTGGGAAGGCTCTTCAGGCTTTCCTGGGGCGTCGTGGAGGCCTCTTGGGCCGTTTTGGGACCATCTTGGGCGTCTTGGTGCGCCCTCTTGGACCATCTTGGGGGCCTCGTAGGGCCCTCTTGACCCGTCTTGGGCCCCTCCTGGGCCTGAACAAGTCGCGCGACCGGACGCGACGAGAAGCCCAAGGGGCACGCAGGCAGCCCCGAGAGAGTTGGCAACTTGGGCTGCGGGCCATGCAACGGCTCCTCGGGAGTGCTTGCGGGAGGAGGCACATGACCTGAGGACACGCCCACGCCGTGCCCAGCGGCACGGTGGCAGATTGTCCAACGAGATGGAAACATGACCCGCTCCCAATAAACGGATTTGTCCAGTAACCAATTGCATGATTGCGAAGCAACACCGCCCGCTCATCGTACATCATACCTTTTCGTCCAACATTCTGCATATGTTCTTCTCGTACCTCTCGTCTCCTTCCTCCCTCTCCTCTCATCTCTCCTTCACTGTTGTTCCTCATGATCCCCATCATCAAAGAGGCGTTGCCTCCTCGCCAGTCTTTGCAAGCACGGATGGGCGACTAAGAAGGAGGGGTCAAGCGAACGGGGTCCAGGAGAATGGCGCCACGACATTCGAGGCAGTTCAGGATAAGGTGCGTGCGTTGCCGCAATCTGCCGACCAGCAGTGATGACAGCACCTCTTAGTTGATGGACGTGTTCTGGGGAAGGCGGAACAGCGGGATGATAGCATTAGTGCGTTGCATGATGTCGTCTATGACAGGTTGGCTCTTGTGACGGTGTTTCGGTTTGTTTAGCTGGTGGCCTTCAACTCCACGTTGCGGTGCCACTCGGGCATTCGTAATGCGTGAGCGTCTCAACACGACCCAGTGACCACAAGCAGATGCGTGGCGTCGCTAGCACCTCGGAGCAAAACGTAACCCACCGTCTGCTCGTCCTGCAGTTCCTCGCACCAGCCTGCCCGTGAGGGTACCTGTTCAAAGTCTCCCAGGGCTGGTGAGGCGCCGTCGCGGGCCTCGCACTGGCAGCCCGTGGTCTCGTGTCGTGGTCTCTCTGGTCGTGGCCTGCGGTCTCTGGCCGTGGTCTCCGGTCGTGGTCTCTGGTCGTGGCCCCCGGGGCCTCTGAGAGGAGGGAGGAGGGAGGAGGGAGGAAGGAGGGGGGAGGGGGGAGGAGGGGGGAGGGTGGAGGGGGGAGGGGGAAGGCTGGGAGGAGGGGGGGGAGGGGGAGGGGGGGGGGGTGAGAGGGAGAGGGAGGAGGAGGAGGGAGGGAGGTACGGAGAGAGGAGGGAGGAGGAGGAGGAGGAGGAGAGGGTTTAGGGTTTAGGCCCGCGGGCTCTGGTCCTGGCCATGGGGCCCCCCTGGTCGCGGTCTCCGGTCGTGGCCCCTGGGCCTCGGGCCGCGGCACGCGGTCGCCGGGCGTGGGCTCTGGGCGGGGCCCGTGGCCTCCCGCCTCCCATACATGGGGGGCGGCAGAGAGGGCATCCAGAGCCCCGAATCATCAGGGGTAACTCGGGTCAGGGCCAACTCGGGTTCCTTTTTGCGGGAATCCGAGCCCGAGTTATCCCGGACCCGAGTTACCCGGATAACTCGGGCACACAAGGATCGCGCACGCATCGATCAGGGGTAACTCGGGTCAGGGCAACTCGGGTTCTTTTTTTCGGGAATCCGAAGCCGAGTTATCCCGACCCGCAGTTACCCGGATAAACTGGGATCCCAGAGCCCCGAATCATCAGGGTAACTCGGGGTAAGGGCCAACTCGGGTCCTTTTTCGGGAATTCCAGGTCGAGATTAACCGCATGCCGATGTTAATAAAGGGACCCCCCCCCTTCAGTGTTTAGAGTTGATTATCGTCGCCCTATACAAAATTCAAATTGGGCGGCGAGCGCTGAGGCCGAACTTCATTATCACCTCGAAACGCGATGTTGAGATAGCAACACAAAGCGATGTTGCTATCCCCGCGCGCGCCTGAACTTTTTTATCTCTGGGGTTGATTATCCATGGAAAGGGGAGCACATGAGCTACCCTACATGAGCACTTTA